TTTATTTTATTTTTTTTTTTTAATTAGAGATCTTAATTTATTTCTCTGAGGAAAATATTTTTAAATGAAGATAAATATTTTGAAACGTATCCAAAGTTACAGGAAGTAAAAGGTATAGAACCTATCCTCTAAATGAAGCAAATATTTAGCTGTAATAATAACTAGCACAAAGTACACAATGAATATAAGAAGGTTGAGTCAGGTCCTCTGGTCAGATTCTTCTTTGTTGAAACTTTTCATCTTTTATCCAAAAGACTTCTTCAGTCTGAGGAGCTGCAAAAGAACTTATAAGCAGCACCCTCTCATGGTGGTTAAACCAGTTTGTTGGTGGCACTCAAGCTGTTTATGTGCAAAAGATGTTGATGTTGTTGAACCACCAGAGATTCAACCCTCCGATACAGACAGAGTGGCACCTTCCTCAAGAGCCTGCAACTCAAATCTTCAGTCAGCGGGCACTGAGCAAGGAAGATCCTTCAGAAGACACAGACCCAGCTGCTGAATGAACGGGTGAGACCAACCAATTTCACCAGTTAAGCTTTAGAGGCCAAAGAAGAGTGCATTTGACAGCAACATCATTTGGCCAGGACTTTGCGGTCCACACCCATCTGCAGGCCAGTCATCATTCTTTCAGGGATGAAGATGTGCACATCCTTGATAGAGAGGAATGTTGGTTCAAGAGAGGAGTAAAGGATGTCATCTTTGTGAAGAGAACCCATCCATCGTTAAACAGGGGCGGAGGCCTCCGTGCTCCACTGTCCCCTCTTACAATGCTGTTACTGCAAGTATCACTCAGCCCAAACAACTAGTTCTGGATGTTACCATCAAACTGGTTGATCCACTATGAGAATATGCTGCTTATAAGACTGAGTTTGTTGCAGCTCCTCAAACTGAAGAAGTCTTCTGGATAAAAGCCAAAACATTTCAACAAAGAAGAATCTGTCCAGAAGACCTGACGACCTTGTTAGATTTACCTGATGATATACAATGAATGAAAAACAAGAAAGCACTGGTGGGAACACTGAGTCAGCATTTACATTAATCAGTTAGTCTACAGTTTACCTGAGTGAAATTATTAACTAAAAGTTTAAAACTGCACTTTTTATACTCACACGTAAAACAAGTTTATGATAAAAACAGAACTTTTGTTTATTTTTTTCCTCAGAAAACTTTTTCTAAAAGCTTTAATTATCTCACCATCTGTAAAATATCTTCTATCCGCAGCTGCGCATCTTCCTGCTCATCTTGAGAAAGGGCGCTGCACAGCAGAAGAGAAAAGAGAAGGAAATGAAGTAGAACAGAAATAACTGAGCAGAATACGAAAAAGCTTTAAGGGACACTTAAAATGATGTTAAGAAAGAAAGTATAATGGCAGAAACATGATTTTTGTTGTTGTTCTAATATTGTTGATTGGCCATTGTGCTGCACCTCAATATGTTGGCAGTAGCTTTTCTCTCCTGAGGCAGAAGGTCTGGATCTCTGAGCACTTCCTCCAGGAGATAGATCACTGACATCTTTAGCTCCCCATTCATCTCAAAGTCCTAAACACAGAGACAAAGAGAGCACACATGCACTGGGTTGGCAAAGATCTAGCACCATGCTAGACCAAAACTACCATTCTTCATTCCATCAGTCATCAATCACTGAGGTGCAAACCTTTACCTGACCATGCTTTAGTCTCAGTCCCTTTATTCCTTACAGTTTCTGTTTCCAATTAAACTCCCATCTCACTTTAACTCTTGCTTAAAGGTCACTTTTAACAAGCTCTTTCTGCTCTGTAGCCACTACAAGATCGATGCAAATAGCTGTATAGTTTTGTATGTGTGTGTGTTTGTGTACACACGAGCACTAATAAGCTGACCAAAGTTGGCCTGTCATCACAGCATTTTGTTACTGAAGAAAAGTGCGTAAAACAGATCGATGCAGTTAGGTTGGAAGGACCCTACGCAGGGAGTCAGGCAATTACCTCCATGTTCAGTTCACTAGGTGCAGGCTGGTTAGCAGAAAAACGAGGTTGAGTTGGTTGTTCAGCTGAACTGGCAACAGTTTTCTGCATGTGTTTGCGTGCGTGCAGCTGTTTACATTTTTAAGCGCGAGCAGCGGAGCAGCAAGCAAACCCTTCCATCATCTGCTTTAATTAGACCACAAACTTCATCACCTGCAAAACAGGATCCCCTCACCCCCACACACGCTCATTTACACAAATGCACGCACACATCGCAGAGACACACGCGCGCACACACAGCAGTGGGTGGAAACAAACCTGTGAGTGTTTGGAGACCCAGTGACGCAGCACGTTGAGAACTCTGTTAGTCGCAGCTCTGCGGATGATGAACTCTTTATCACAGGTTCTCTCGGAGTTGGTAAACACTGCAGGAGGAGTGAAAATGACTTTCAATTCTCTTAGATGTCGCTATAATGAAAGCAACGTTACAACAAATCATTCCACAAACTGAGGTGTGAAGCATCCACAAATGTCTAACGTATCTTTGTTTGTGTGTGTGTGTGTCTGTTAGCATCATATCTCTTTGGGGTTGACTCCTCAAGTTAACCCAATTAATGATGGTTGCTTGAATTTAGGAAATATAAACATTGCTTTACCTCAGCTATTTGACAGATATTGAGAAAATATTTAGTTTTATAATAGCTGGGAGTTATCCCCACAACATACTCAGAGCACCAACAGATCACATGTAATCTTAATCACAGATACTGAATTCCATGTTGTAGTTGGTGAGCTTTAACCTCGAGCACTACCTCATTGAACAAGTCTTTGTTTATAACTTTGGCATCAGCTGTTAGAGACAGTCCAGTCTGTACATCCAACAATTACCATACATTTTGAAAGTTTCCGTAAAATCAGCTCCCTAGTTAATTATATATGATTTTTTTTTTTTAGATATTCATAGATTAGATCAGATGGTCATTTTTATACCTCCCCTCCCCTTGTGTTTCTCTTTTTCTTATCTAAACGAAAAGGGCAGCACCTCCCGAAGGCTGCGGCCTCAGACACCTCCGTCTCCCCATGTCTGTTTGTTTATGTTTTCTCGGACGGGCTGTACTGAAATGTAATTTTGTTGTGCTTCGGTGCAATGACAATGAAGCTGATTCTGATATTTTGCAAAGAGGCAGATAAATGACCTCTCAGACAGGAGCAACAGCTTTTTTTGTTCTACAGGCAGTTGGGAATAAACCTATGATTATGGTTTAATGGATTATTAGACTGATAATTGGTTAATTCTGTCCACGTTTTGTATCTGCCCTTTATTTCAAGCTCCAGAATAAACCATTTCTCATTCTGTGCATGTATGGATGAGTTTACCTGGTGGGGTACCATGTCCTGCAGCTGCAGTTGCAATAGCAAAAGCTGATGCAGGAGAAACTGAGCAGCGTGAATTCTCCCCAGACTGGACTGCAGATGCACAAACACATAATTATCATCAGCTCCAACAACACTGCTGGATTTATTATTACTGCTTTTACAACCCAAAGGAGAGAACACAAAGGAATTAAACTTTCTATTCTATTCTAACAAATAAAACATGATTGCAGAGGGTTAAAATGAGTCATTTGGCATTATGAGTAATTTCTTTACATGTAGGAAATTATTTATTATCTCATCTTGAACTGTTTTACTAGTGAATATAATTTGCACATGGTTAATTGGTGAAAATGATAATTAAGTTTGAAATTAATGTGACAGAGGAGTTTGTGTCCTTCAAAGTAAAACACTTCAATTCAAGCTCTTGTATTAAACAAATTAACAAACTTATAAATGTATTTTTTGTGTGCGTTTGTCAGCCCAACAATAAACTGAACGGTTTAACAAGTGTTTATCTGGAATAGTTTGGGCATTGTAAATTCTCCCCAAATATTCACTTTTTTTTAAAAGCTTACAGTAAAAAACAAAACAAGGACAGGACTGCAATTTGTCCACAGGAGCTCGTGCAGTTTTGGTTGTTAATATGTAAAAAAGTAAAAAATTAAATAAAAAAAAAGACAAAGTATTCAACGTTTTCTGTATTTTTGAAGTGGTTGGAAAAGTGTCGAAAAAATATGAAATGTTATCAAACAAATTTTTAAGTCACAGTTTTATCTTTTTTACCAATTAATCATTCTAATTAAAGTCTGTTTCCCCTGCAGCTCTCCAACTTAAAGAGAACATTTTCATTAATACCTTCCACATCGTCTATTTAAATAGATCCTAACCCTCTCGAGAAGCTCTAATATTTCACTCACAAACTTTTGCAAACCTATAGAGCTAATTTATGCCATTGTTTGGGTTCTGAGTGGATGTCAGGCTCAAGGGCTGAAGAGCTGTGGTGGACTCTGGGAATCTGCACCGTGTCCTGTCAGTTGACCACACATGTGACGCGGTGTAGTCATGAGTAATAAAGCACACATACGCAGCTGCAGTCTTACCTCCAGGCTGTCTGTAGCGAAGGTGTCGAGGCGTAGACGGAGAGCGACACGGAGACATGTCTCCTGCGTCGCTGCTCTGTGGAGACTCAGGGATGATTTTCTCCAAAGACGCTGATTCCAACACAGCTATGGACAGAAAGAGGACGAGAAGGACGATTATAACAGAGCTGGTTAGTCATGGTGACCATTTGGGTTGACGTTTTACAGAACAAGAAACCTTCATTTTGATAAAGTTTACAACCATTTATTTATTTATTTATTTATTTCGAACGACAATAAAAAGTAAAATCAAAGAAAGAGGAAAAAAATAACAGTCATGCCAATTGACATGCAAAAAGAAAACCTCATGGATATAAATATTTGCTTAATTTCCTCTCAGGTGTCTTAGAACATCATTAAAAGTGTTTTTTACCATGTTTATTTTAATGTTTCTGTCCAAGTATGTGAACAGTAATATAGTTTATTTCATATCATTCAGTTTTGAGAGTATTTATTCTTGGTTAGATGTAAACTTTGGCTCTAAGTGCAACAGGAGTATTTTTGTTTATACCGGATACTTGTGTTCTTTGTCAGAGGAGTTATGCGATGGAGTTAAATTCAAAGCAGTCTGCTCCAATGAATAGTGTTAAATTATTATTTTATATATTAATGTTTCTGTTAACTTGTAATTTTTATTATAAATGTTTCTGTTAAGTGCCCTGAGATGGCTTCTGTTGTGACTTGGCGCTATATAAATAAACTGAATTGAGTTATAAAGACGGGCAGCACGGTGGCGCAACTGGTAGAGCTGCTGCCTCTCAGCGAGCAGGTCCCTGGTTCAAACCCCAGTCCAGGGGCCTTTCTGGGTGGAGTTTGCATGTTCTCTCCGTGCATGCGTGGGTTTTCTCCGGGTGCTCCGGTTTCCTCCCACAGACCAAAAACATGCATGTTAGGCCAATTGGTAACTCTAAATAGTCTCTAGGTGTGAGTGAGAGAGTGAATGGTTGTTTGTCTCGTTTGTCTCTATGTGGCCCTGTGATGGACTTGCGACCCGTCCAGGGTGTACCCCGCCCCTCGCACAGTGATTGCTGGACATGGGCACCGGCGACCCCCGTGACCCAAAATGGAATAAACGGGTAAAGAAAATGGATGGATGGATGGAGTTATAAAGACTGTTTCATGACATACATTTACTAACCAATGTATTCAAATAGCTGAAATGGTCAGTGCATGAATATGGAAACTTGCTCTTAAATGTTGAAATGTTAAAAAGCACACATACTGCAGTTCAAACAGTAAACATACAACACAAGCAGACGCTATAAAAACACCAACTCATCAGGAGCTAAATGAACCAGGAGTCAGTTTGCAGGAAAGGTGAGTTGTGCTGATGGGTGATTGTTTAACACATGAACACACTGCATGTGTGTGTGTATTCATGTTCATGAGAGTTTAACAGCATCTTGTCATCGCTGCGGTACTTTTGATGCTCTGATGCTGAAGTTCTCCACTCTGATAGGTCTCTAACTCTACATCTAAAGGATGTGTGGTAGCAAGTAACAGGGACTTCCTGCTCATCGTAAAATTAATTTCACCTGCAAAACTGTAAACCTTGTTTAATAAACACAAGTACTTCAAGATGCTGCAGCAGAAGAATTGTTTGCATATGTCTAACTGCATTTGAACAAACTTGAGAAGAATACCACAGAAGCAGAAGTGTCCTCTGTTATCGCAGCAACATTAATTTACTTTAACTTTTTCTGTTGAAATTGTAACATACTTCTCCGAATGCTCCTTCGCAGTTTCCCACAGAAAGGGTCGATCTTCGGCACCTCGTCCCCCTCCCCTGCTGGACATGGACTCTGCTCAGGTGACGACGGAGTCAGAGGAGTCTGATCCTGCGGTGACTTGGGATTGTTGGGAGGAGGAGAGGTGGAGGAGAACGGAGGAGAGGTAGTAGTTGGAGTCGGTGTCTGAGGTGTTGGTGTCTGAGGAGTGTGGGTGGATGTGGGGCTACTGCCAGCAGACTGGGAAGAGCTGTGGTTCATAATGGAGTTGGACAGAGGAGACGCCAAGTCTAGTCCTCCGATTCTGGCAGTGATGGGGGAGTGAAGGGAAAGCTTTCGGGTTCGGACTGGGGAGGAGGTGCGGGACGAGATGGATAATGGAGGAGGGGAGGAGAACTTGCGGCAGAGGCGAGGGGATCTGTCGTTCATGCTATCGCTGCCTCGATTATTTTGATTGGTGGCAAAAAACAACTCCAAGGACCTGAAGAGGGGAGAAAAGCAGTAAATTAGTAAATACAAGTACTAAAGCAGTAAAGACAGAAAGAAACTTTTCCGTTACATTACTTACAAACTGATTTGGTTCGTTTTCCTAAAAGTGTAATAAAGGTTTGGTTTTGGCTCATAACATAGTGACGGACTGTGGGTTCACAAAAATAAAGATTTCAGTGTGCTCACAGAGAACTTTAGAAAACTAAACATTATTTTGTTGGATTTTGTTGTTGAAATAGGAGCAGTGATTTATAATGAGTGGACACAAAAGTGCAGGAAGAAATTATTGACAGATTTTTATTGTGGCTTTCTGTTCCATCACACTGAGCTGGAAATTAAAGTGAATGTCAGTTTTTATTGTAAACTGTATGCTTTTTATTGTATTTTAACAGTTCAGGAGTTTTACATGTTTTACATTGTTTTATAACTGCATGAATCCCCAGTCTCAATGAAGTGCAATAAATCTGAAGAGTGAGTGTGGACCTGCTGCAGCCTTAATAAAGCTGGATCCACGGAGAATCATCCTCAGTTTATTCAGTTTCCTTTGGCTCTGAGAACCTTCATCGCAACTGTCAGATCTGTTTGGCTTGAAATTGTCCTGAATTAATTTTAACACTCTTATTGGTTGTATATGAGTTTTTATTTTCAACAAATAAGCTTTAATGGGTTTAAAGGGGGGATGAATATTGCACTTTCTACATATTTGTGTAAAGCTACACATATTTTATCATAAATAAACTCATTTTTACGTTCAGAGTTGGAAATATTGCCCAATTCTCTTAAACTAGGAGCCTCTGACGTGCAATCAGTGTCTTTTGGCATCACTGCTGTACTCCGCTCAAAGCAATTTTAGATGTCTGATTGAATTTGACCAAGTTCTAAGATGGTAGGAGGAGTGAAAGAGGAATAAAAACAGGAATTCAATTTCAAAAAACAGTCTTAAGGACACGTTGGAAGCACTTGTAAGGCCCATGTGTCACATTAGATTTTTCTGTTTCAGACCTACTCAGATTTAGGCTGTTTTAACCAAAACCAGGCAAACAAAACTAGTGAGATGTAATTTAAAAAATCTATTGATCTATTGATTGTAAGCAAGTTTGAATTAAGAAATGGTCTGACTTTAGATATTGACTTTAATTAAGTAAATCATGCATGTCAGATTTAAACAAATTACCTGGATCGTTTGCTTCAAGAGCTTTCTACAACAGGTAAGATATTAATTATTCACAATGTTTCCACAGAACTCCACTTCCAAAGACCTGAACTATTGCTTTTATGGGTAAACTGCAGAATGACAATTCTGCACAGTAGAAGAAAACTGACTCTAAAATAAATTTTCTTCAAAGTTCAGTACTTTTCTTTTTAACATGAAACTGGTGCCTAAAACTATCAAACTGTTTTCCAGATGTGCATGTGAACATTTTTAATATAAATATAACATCTACAATCACCGCAAGCATCTCACCAGTGCCTTAAACCATAAAAACAATTATAAATAATAATAATAATAAATCACAAGGATCATCCTGTTCAAGTGCATAATCTGGACAGATAAATAAGCTGGATAGGAATGAACAAATTGTGTCTTAGATGGGAATATAAAGGAGAAAAATAAAGCACCGGGGAAATAAGGATGCATTAAAACCTTAAACAATAGATGAAAAATATATTTAAAACAACAGGCAGGAAAAGATCATCCAAACAGGAAATACTTAAAGATAAAAACTTAACAATAAAGCAATTCTTCTGTAAATAAAACGTGCTACTGTGCTGTTCCTTATTGCAGATTTTAAACTATATTTTGATCATTTCTTCCTGCATCATTCATTCAAACCAGTTAAGACAGGAGGAACAATAATCCCAGTTATCCATTCAGGCAAAGTAAAAGTAAAAGTCATGCATCAGTTTAACAACAAACAGAAAAAGAAGGAAAAGTGAGAGGGACAGATGTTGGAGGGCAGAGGAACATCTCAGTTACTTGGACTGATCCATAGCTATCTTCTTGATCTTCAGACTGTAGTCAGGACAGATGGATGAGATGGACAGACGGTCAAATGAGTGGTACCGTCTCCTGGAGTCGGAAGGAAAATGTAGAGACAAGGGAGATGAATGACACACAAAAAAGATTCAATGGATGAGTTATGGTTGTTAGATTGAGACATGATTAAAAGAGATGTAACAGAGATAGAAGATAGTTTTAGTGAAGATGTTGGGAAATTAATTAATTATTCTCTTGGAGGAAATCTGAGTGAGTATAGAAGATGTGAGTCGGAGAACTGCAGCATATTCAGAATTTATGATGAGGTTTGACCACATGGGAGTAAATCCAGCCTCAAAGTGACACAGAATATCCATCTTTCTCTTTATTAAAAATTTAAATGGACTCAGCTTTTGACCTTGAATTATATGTGAGACCTTCACTGTTTGCTGTTCCCCATAAAATGGTATGCAAACAAAATGTTGCTGCAAAAGTTACGCTTTTCTTTTTTCCTTACAGTGTTAATAATGAATGTTTTGTTAACAAATGACTGAAATGTTGTTTTGTAGACAAGTAAAACCGTGAGAAACCCAAGTCAAGATTTTAATTGTGCTTAAGCACAAACTGGTCAATAATGTTTACTCGTTTTATTTTATTGTTTTTCCCAAAAGGTGTTTCAACAAATAGTTTTAATGAAGTAGAAAATTTAAAAGTTTTAATCTGGATTTTGAAAGGCAGTTAGATTAACTACAAGTCTTCAAATATTTAGAAAGGAGGTGAAGTTTAGCAGATCCATATATTTCAATAAATGAAACACTGAAGCATCTGATTTTAACGGGGTGTTACTAATTTACAGACAAGTTTTATTTAAACTACATTTTGTCTTAAATGTATTTTTGTTTTTTGAACTCTTGAGTTTAACTTAGTCACCATAAGTACCTGGTTAGTTTAGTCACACTGTGGTACATTGAATTAACAATGTGTCTTTAAATGATCTCTTTCCACCATGTAATGTTTCAATCTACTTCAGCCTAACAGCTAAAAATAATTATTTTTAAAGTGTGTTGAACAGGAAATGGAACACAGATGTAGTAAAAATAAATAAATAAATAAAGCTAATTCCTTTCAGTGCTAAAATATTGACTTTTTATCCAATTTTCTCAACTTTTTCTCTTGAAATCTGTGTTAATTTGATCCATTTGCAGCAAATATCCCAGGACGGAGAGGAGATTGTCTGTATTATGGAATATGTCGACTTCAGGGGCTCAGTGTGTCCCCAGGTTCTCCATCTATCACAAAGGTTTGACATATTTCAGTTTCTGAACTTACCAAACCTACAGTCATGTCACAAGGACAGAAAAGTGTCAAAACATTTAATAAACACAGTTCCAGCAATTTTTCCATTTATAATTTTGAATGTTGGTTTTCGTGCAGGACCACTAAAATAAAATTAAGATTAAAAAAAAAGAAGGGACCATCCTCACAAACCCATCTTTTCCTCCTGCACATGTCTTCTATGTGATGCTTCCCTCCTGCTCTAATGTAATGAGCCACAAACTATGCAGAGTTATGTTTTGCAAACAAACCTTACCCTATGGGGTGCAAAGCTTTTTCAGTTTTAAATGAGTCGAGTAAAAGCGGTGGAAGAAATAAAAACACTATTGTAATGCAGCCAGAGACCTAATAAAAATGAACCTCATCTGTCCAACAGAATAATCCCCAAACTTCCCGCAAAAATGTTGTCAAGGCATCTGTTCTAGGCCACTCAAATACAGGCTTGTTTATTTTATCTAGTGTGAAATTACTTCACCGCTTGCTCTTGTTGAGGGCGGATGCATTTTTCCTCCTCTCCCTCCTCCGCTTTGCTTTGCTGCTCTGACCTGTCTATGAAACTTTTTCTGAGCCTCGCACCAAGGAAATCTACAGACCAACCAGGGGAAACCAGTTGAATAAACATTGTGTCATCGTTTCAGGACTTTTGGATTCTCACTGGCGCTGTCCTTTGCCACTCCTCGACACCTCCCGAGAATGTTTATGGATCTCACCAAAGGGAACAGGCTGATTATTACATCCTTATCAGAACTCCTACAGTGCCTCCGGGAGCATCCTTGGACATTTTCACTGCCCTTGTCGTCCCCACCCCCTCTGTAGAATGTCTACGTCACCATGTGCTCTTGTGCGAAGATTTTTTTTTCACTTTCATGCTTTTGATCTTCAGCCAGAGATTAAGAGCATGTTATGAACGTTTTTGCCTCCACAACCTATGTTGTCATTTTCATCACGTATTGTCAGTTGTAAATGAGTCTCTGAGGCTCAATGTGATTTATCTGTTTCAATAAAGGTTGAATGAGTTATCCCTGTTAAAATCGAATCTATCTGAGTCCAAAACAGTCACCAGAGTCTGACTTCATTGAGCTTTCAAGAATAGGACTAAAACATCTTTACAGAATATTTACATTAACATGTGTCTCATGTGTGCTGTTTTCTGCATTTTAAATTATCATTATTATTTTTTTGTCAGAATGGTTTAGACCTGATAGGAATGGAGGAGAAAGGCTTCTTGTAGATGTCAGCCAGCTTGTCCATGACCACAGCTGCTGTGGTGAAGATCCTGTAGGTGTGCAGGAAGGTGTTCAGGAAGTCTATGGAGAGGAAGCGCAGATCGGTCAGCCTCTCCAGCAGCCGCTCCACGCTGGCGTAGCGGATCTGGGGGACCTTGCAGGAGTTGAGCGTCTTGCTGAAGCAAATGTCAACATCATCTTTATGGAGGCGCACATCGGATCTGATGGATATACACACAAGCACATACACATACACACACACACACACACAAAATGATGCATGGGTGAATGCTTGGTGACAAAGCAAGTCAAAAGTTACAAAAGCAGCAAAGAATAATAAAAAAAGCCAAGTAAAACAGAAGAAAGGCCAATAATTTATTTTGGAGGAAAAGAACAAATATGAAATCAACACAATTATTTCTACACAAAAAATAAAAATGGATGGAACGGTATCAAAACAGTCACAGAAGTTTAAAAATAATAAAACAGGGTTATAATTTTTCTTATTCATTTAACTATTTTATAAATATAAAATAATTGTATTTAATGACAAAAGGTTTTTACAGCTGTCCACTTTACATTAATGAAGATTATATTGATTAAATTACAATTTTATTGCACACATGATGTTTTTTCCTTTTCAAAACTTTCTTGAACCTGAATATTCTTTCAGAAGGTTAACAAGTTCACCTCAAAGAGCAAAACTAAAATAAGCACATGCGTCTTTGCTTCAAATTTTTCTTAATCTGTCTCCTTTCCCTCAGGTTGCACTTAGAAAAGGACATTAATTAACTTTTTTTGGTTTTATTTCACTGTTTTATATTGGTTTGATCTTGTAAAGAAATACTTAGGATAATGTACAATCCTGAATGTGGAAAATAAAAATATTTAAATTACAAGAAATAATGCACTCAGGATTTTTACTTTTGCATTTTTAACAAAACAAGCCATTTTCTTTTGTTGTGTTTTCTACCAGCTTGTTGGTTGTATTGTATATGTTATTATATATAATAAATGTGTATATATTATGTATATATTGTATATAATATATGTATAATAAGTATACAATATATGTATAATAGATATATATTGTATATAATATATGTATAATATGTATATATTGTATATAATATGCATATTATATATCTATTGTATATAATATGCATAATATTGTATATAATATATATGTATTATAATACAGTTTTCTGTATTCATGTGACTGCTCAGAAAGTAAGGAAAGCTCTTTAAAAGTTCAAAATTGTTCAGAAAATTAAATCATAGGGTAAAAATCTGTATGTAAAATAAAATATTCTTGTTTAACTTTTTTAGCTCCTGTAATACACACATACCATTTTATTAGAGGCTTTTAATGTAGATTTTGCAGCATGCGCTCAGAATGAAAACACGAGTGTTTATCTTTAATGACATAAAAATTCTTACTTGATCATGTGCGGCACGGTGACTTTAGAGTTTTCCTCAAACACGCTGGTCATCAAGCCGTTACAGCGGATGTTATCTATGCACTACAGACAGAGAGAAAATCAACTGAGACAACAAAAACTGTAAAGATTTTTCTTTATTGTTTAAACAGAAACAAGAAACTGGTGACAAAAGCTGTCTAAAACACACTGACATGAAGATATTTTTGTATTTTCCCTGATAAAGTTTCAGTGCTTTCCACCTTTTCTGTGTAAAAAACGTTGTTTAAAAGTATGACTGACAATAAACAGTGATGAAAAAGAAGCCATTTGAAAACTGTCACTGTATTTTTCCTTCTGACAAGAATTAATCCAGTGTGACACACTTAGATGGTGACACCTTGTTTGCAAATAACTAAGGCAGTGAGCTGAACTCGGCCCAGGGGAGCCGCACCGCCGTCTGTGTTTACATATCACTAAGCTTTCTCAATGCTCAGAGGAGACACACTCTTGCTGTTGAGAGGTTCTTGTGTTTGTCTGGGATTGTGTTGGTGGGACTTGTGTATTACCTGGCTAATATCACTGGTCCATGCAGCCTTCTCCTGTCGCGATGGAGCCAGCAGCACCACGGTAAATGAAGGCGAATCTGAAGGTTCTACTACCAGCTTAAAGTCCAGCTGACCAAACACCTGCCCACCAGCTTTAGCTGCATAAGAAGAAACAACTTTTTATTGTAAAACAGGCAGGTATTGGTAGAAAAAATGACACATCTACTAATATCTACACACAGAGAAGGTTAATTTAGCAAACATCCTCTTTTCTTCTGTGCACCCTTAAGATTTATAAATAAAAAAAATGACAGTGAGCTCACACTTACACATGATTGCTTCACTCCTTACACTAGTGTGTAGCAAGCAGTTTGTCTGTTTGCTACATGAGTTGTCAAGGGGGAAATGTAATGGTCCTCTGTCATGTTAAAAGATCAAATTCTGATATTTAGAAGGGTGAACATCTGATATTTAAAGAAAGTCCTTTCTGGACAGTTGTTGTTTGGCACCTAACTAACCTTCATAATAATGAAAAGTCTAAATGAGCCAATAAGTTGTTTGTGCGTGGGGAAATAATTGAATTAACGCAATAAACTTACATTCTTCATCATTGGTGTCCGGTTCTTCTATAAGAGTGCATTCAATCAGTGACAAAACTCCACCTTGCTGTGTGATTAAAAAAAAAAAAAAAAAATCATTTAGAAACGAGTTTTCCTCATGGAGGGGTTTTAAACAGGTAACGGTGATGTCACCTTAAGAAGGTGCAGTTTTCCCCCAGAGCTGCGAGTGCACACTAGAAAGTGTTTGGTGAATAGAAAGCATTGCCTTTCCCCCTCTTTCTTCAGCGACAGTGAGCCCAGACGGACCTTGCTTAGTTTCCCTCGCTCCACTGATGGCAGCTGGATCAGAGAACCTGTGGGAAAGCGAGGGGCAGAGGATTACATGACAAACACTAATCTGTGTGCTGTTCACCAAGTGTTTATGGTGATGCAAAAATGAGTAATACACAAAACAAACTGCCAAACTGAAACCTGGTTTTGGTCTGAGTGTGCATCCTACAAATAAACTGCGAGGTTAGTTGCAAATTTTCACCTTTTTCAGTGACTAAAACTATGCAGATAAAAGTCAGCACATCACCTGCTGCATGTTTTTACCAGAGATTTGACCAAGATCATCATATGTTATAACCGTTTTTGTCAAAACGTGAACACATTATGTGAAATTTTACAAAATGCTGTGTCGTATGGTGTTCTGTTAGTGAATGGAGTGTGGGTTGTGAATGACTGTCGGCAACTACAACTCCAAATTTTAGCTCAATATCTATAAAATTCTGAAGTTATAACAATTATGGTGTTTACTAAGGTTGATTAGTGGTGACAGCCATCATGAATTGGTTTAAATTCAATACTTCATCAGTTGTGAGAGTTTTATTGATATCTGTCCAGTTGTTTATGAAACATTTTGCTAACAGGCAGGCAAAGATGGCTGTAATAGTTCAGGTCAAAATAATAAAACCCTTATGCACACATAATTAATGCTGTTACAGGACTCTCAGCTACAACCATTACAAAGTTATGCTTAATATCTGTAAAAAACGGCTGAGCTGTCGTCATTGCACTTGCTAAGGATGTCAAAGCTGCGGTGGCCATCTTCAATGGGGTTGACTCCAGTTGCAGATGAACAGTGATTACTTACTGAGTTTCAATAAAATGTGTTCAGTAGTTCATGAGATGTGTTGCTGATGCTACAAACAAACGCAAAGAGACACGAGCAAAAACACTAAAGTCAGCCTTTGTTTGTTGTCGGCGAGGTTTCACTGTCAGGACTTCATTCCCTGTTATCTGACTCATCCACAGCTTGAAAAGCTCAGTCTCCTGTGTGAAGCATCCTCTGAGGTGTCAGCCAACAGCCACAACATTAAAACCACTGACAGGTGAATTACACTGATTATCTTGTTGCAGCACAGCCCTTCTCTTCTGGCGTTTATGTGGGTGTTACTTTGACAAGTCCTTCCTACTTAAACATTGTTGCCAACTGAGCACACCCGTCTCTGGCAACATCAGCTGTGCCCTTCCTCACTAAGACGGTGGTGCACCATGAACCAGAGCACCGCGACAAACGCTAATCCGCAGAAAACAAAGTACACAGTCTGAACACAGATCACAAAGTACTGGCTGAAACATCCAAATGCCAAAAACTACAACAGGTTCTGTATCAAAAGTGAAAGAGGGCACAGATGTTTTGGTATGGTATGGTATAAAGTTTATTCATTTTAAAAATACAAAACAGTTTCATAACTATATAAAAAAAAATGCAAGAGATTTAAAATGAAAGGCAGCAGCACAAAGGAAATTTTATGTTATTTGGCAGATAATTTATTTTTTATTGTTGGAAGTGGGAAAGTGGATTTAATTTTACCAAATGGAGTCATTTTTTAAATGCATGTTGATTTTAAAACATCACTTTCAGTTTTTTGTGTGTTTTGAATGAGAATTTGAAACTTACTGAATGAACATTGGTGCCAACATCAAATAAATTTAACCCTATATCGCCATAATAAATATTTTGAAAAATCTTACTTTTTCTTTGGACCATAATTTGTTGCCTGAGGTTTGAAATGCAAAATGAATAGGCGTGTTATCAAGAATAAACTTATGTTGTTAAATTGGACAGTCATTTCTGCAGAAAACTGATTTATCCATCTTAAAAACAGCCAGCTTGTTTTGCACGTCTGCTTAGACTTAAAGCGTTGTGTTAAAAAAAGTAATACATGCATTTAATTTGAATGAGTATAACAACTTAATTTGAAGAATTTAGACACTTTCTGTTTGCATTGTCATAAATAAAGTGGTATTTTCACTTTTTTAAGAGCTGACTATATAAAAATTAATGATTTATATAGTTCTACTTGATGAAGACTCACCCTGCCTGACGAAGGTCTGGCTGGTGTCCAGCAGGATGTCACAGCCCTCAACAATCATCCTCTCAATGGCCAGATTCTTCCGGATGTTTTCTGTGTCGCTCACCTCATCGTGCATTACTCTAAAAAAAAACACACAGGTTACTTTTGTTTCTGGGTTTTCTATAAATACTTATCAGAAAGTCTGAATGTTTTGACCCATACCTGGACAGTTCTTCTAATTTGGACTTGGCAAATTCAAGACTTTTGCGCTCCACGTGCTCATGGGGAGTGTGAGCCAGCAGTTCATGCAGGGTGATGATGTAACGGGGAATCTTTTGGGGAAAAAGAGAACTGAGTAAAAAAGGTTTTTATTGCAGCAACAAGTGGAAGACAGAACTGATCATGTGTTGCAGTTGTGTCGTATGTTTGGTAAGAAAGGAGCTGAGCCTCTGGATTACCTGGAACATGGGATATGTGAGGAAGGTTTCGAGCATCCTCCCCTCACAGGCAGCATTAGACTCATACTGCTTCAGCAGCTTGTCAAAGTCTCTGTTCTGCTTGCAGTTGGCCAAAACTTGCAGACTGTACTGATGGTTACGCACAAACTCCTGGTAGATGTTGAGCATTGGCAGCAGGATGTCGAACAAGTCAGCTAGAAACAAAAACACAGTTTGTAACATGCACAGCATGCAAGTCCACTGTGGGTAAAAGATAAAATACCAGAATATTCTGGTGGGAAGTTTAAAAATCTAAGTGACAAAACTTACATTTTTCAAAATTTACCTAATTAAATGTCTCTAGAAGAGTCAGAGACTGAGGAGGTTGAACTAAGACTTTAGAAAGTTATGATTAAAAACAGATTTTTAAGCAAAAGATCTTAAGATCCTCTCCAATGTGCTAGATCAGACCAAAAGAATGTCATAACAAAAATGTGAAATATTCATTTTCTTCCACAAATTCAGGAGTATTGTGGGAGAAGCAGCATCCCATTGTCTTTATGAATAAATTGATTATTTTTTGACCTGGACACGAGCTTGCAGATTTCTCATTACGTCATCTTAATAAGCAAGTAACTTCAACAAGAAAAACAGGGAATGTAAAATTGTACAGTAAGTCAAAGAATAAAAATTAAAAAAATCATTAAGCAGGTACTAGTATAAAAATAGCAATAAAAAAAACTGATGACTGTTTTGAAAACCAAAAGTGTTGTACAGATTAAAGCACAACAAATAATCTTATTCTAAAGATGAGCTTGATAAACCTTTAAAGTATTTGTTGAAATATACAGTTACTGTAAGATGTGGAACATACTGCAGATAAAAAGCCAACGTTCAGAGTCTGCCTGAACAAAAGGTCCTGTTGGGTTGACGGGTCTAATCTGGAGCCTTCTTCTGCTTTTATTTGTTACGAGTAATTTGCTGTCACATCTTTCAGCACCCTGTTTCCAAGGCGATGCTTATCTGTTTAGGAGACGTTTTTAGAAGGAGAAATAGTGACAAGCCTCCTGGCCTGAGCGGTCATTGTCTGTCAAGACAATGAGTGTGAGGGTTGGAGGCTGAGATAGGAAACCGTGTTGGTGTGTGTGTATGTGTGTGTGTGTTCTGTGAGGTAACAGCTTACCCAGCACCAGTGTTGGCCAGTTGGCTATCCTCGCCTTCAGACCCTGATGGAAAATCTCATGTAGGAACATGATGGTCTCACTGGAGACACAAAGTAACACGGCATGAAAAAGACAAGAAAAATCTGGTTTCAGCTCATTTGTCTAATTTTTCATAAACTTATTTTAAATCAAAGAAAATGAGAATGTGATACTTTTGTTCATTACACATGAATGTTCTCCCACAGATGCACCCACCTGTTGAGAAAAATGCTGCTCACGTCGTCGTGGCTGATGGGGGGCTTCTTGGAACTGGCAGCCATCCTCAAAGGTCTGAGGAAACAGTTGACCAGAATATAGAGCTGGTGGACGTACCTGTCAAAACACCAGGCACGCACAGATGGAATAAGAGTATATTTTACTTGGGTTGCATACTGCATATATAAACGGCATCTGTCATGTTTCTTTAAAAAAAAAAAAAAAACATTAATCAGTGTTTTTTAAAAAGGTTTGTTGTAACATTACATAAAGTTTTAATCCTGCTGCCTTTAGCTGGTAGTAATAATAGTGTTACTTTAGCTGCTTATGCTATAAAACAATAATGTTTCTTGTACTTTTTACTTTCCTTTGATTCAAGTTTTATTTTTTATGTTGCTTCTAAAACTTTATCTTAATAACTTCTATGTTTTGTTCTGTTCTGTGTTGATTTTGATAAACTACTGCCATGAAATGCAGGAGATCATTTAATTCCCTTTGTGTTTGTCTGTTTGTTAGCAAAATATCTCATAAATCATCACACATATTTTCACAATATTAGAAATTTATCACCAGATGAGTATCTAAAACAAACTTTTTGGAGTCGACCTGATTTAAGTTGGCCACCACTGCTAATAAGAAACAAAAGTCTATAAATCAGTCAATTTACAGACACGGAGGTAAGATTTAGTATTATAGGAGATAAATGTCACACCAGCACCAACTCTGAGTGCTAACAGATTGTGTACTGTTCTTTAAACATTCAACATCAACTGTTGGAATAAATCTGGTCTGCCTGTTTGTAAAATATGTCATGAACTACTGAATGGGTTTTAGTGAACTTCTTAAAAATATACTCATAGGATGCACATCTACAACAGCTTAACTATGAAACAACCTGAATCAAGATGGCTGCTATGGCTAATAAGTCTTAGCCTACACAAAAATGCTATGACTCTGTCAATTTTACAGATATTTAGCACATTTTTGGAAAAGTTTTAGCTGGAAGTCCTAACATCTTATAGTGCTAACTAAATATATACTTTTTTTGCTTTTTGTAAAACTTTCACGTGCAATTCAGCGGGCGATATGCACTCCATCAAGGAATGCTGGCATTATTTAGTTAAACGTGAAAAGCTACACTGACAAAAATAATAATTTTACAGCTCTGTGAACAGCTGAGGGAGACCTATCTTATTAAAACAAACCCATTAAACCTCAATAAGCTTTTTTAATGTGGCAAGCTGGTGTTGTGGTGATCATTAAAAGTTCAAACCTCTTTATGATTACATTTAATTTTCACTTTACTGATTTGACTAACTCAGTTACAACTAAATTACATTTATAGACCAGTCAGACTGTTATCTCACTGTTTTCCATAGTAAGATAACTGTGCTGCAGTGACAGTCGTACTACAGTGTGAGCTGTCGCTCCAGGCGTAATGTATTTACATACTCTGTCTCAGCCTCCACCATATTGAAGACGATCTGGTTCCTCTTCCTCATGCTCTCAGCATGAGGAGAACAAATGTAGTCCTGAACAATGATTTTCCACTTCCTGCGACAGAGCCAGCCTCTCATGAAACTTTGCACCTGTGGATGAAAATTGAACAAGTATGAAATAAATATACATTTGTAAATATTTAAATAGTCCAGCTTCAGATTTGGATACATTTGTTGTTACCCTTCATTGGAACAATGATCCAGTTAAAAGTAATTGTCTAATGTTTATCTGCACACATTTAGTATGTGATAAACAAGAAGAAAATGCCAACAAAAAAAATGGTTTGTCCTTATTTTACAAAGATATGCTAAAATAGTTTGGCCAAATCTATAACTACCCTTAAAAAGACAAATAATTCTTGCATTATAGTCACATTTCAAATTAAACTTTTGACTTTTATGAGTATCGAGTGTCCACGTTTTTATTTTATTTTACTTCTTCATGTTTAAAGGGAACAAAGAGCCACTAAGTTGTTTGGTATGGTTGTGCACCATGCCAAACATGGAGCAGAAAAAGCCAAAGCCGGGTTATCTGAGGAGCTTAGATAAAAGATTATAGATCTTCATGTTCAGGATAAAAAGGCTACATGACCATCTCCAAACAGCTTCATGTTCCTGTGAACACAGCCACCAATATTATTGAAGTTATAATGTTTATTTATGGGACTGTAGCCAACTACCCAAAAGATGGGCGCAAGGGGAAATGCAACTCCCGGTTAACCAGACAGGCAGTAGGAATGGTAGAAAAAGAGACAAATAAACCATCCATAACCATTAAAGCTAAATTTCAAGGTCAAGGTCCAAATTTTCTGATCACACCATCTATCACATTTTGAATCATAATGCCATTCATGGAAGGGGAGAAAAACAAAAAAGACAAGCAGTAATTTATCAGAATGCATGTTGACAAGCCCCAAAGTTTCTAGAACTAATGAGACAAAATTGAGTTTTTTTTGGTCAGAGTATTGTGCAAGGGTACCAACAAATGTATTCACGTCTGTACACGTATGTATTAGCAGTAAAGTGAAACACTGAATATGAAAAACTATCTTTACCTTTTTGATTTTTTTTATGTCTGGATCGTCGTTTGTATGGTAGACATGATACGGCCTCATCCGCTCCTTAGTTTTGTTCAAAGCTACAATCTTTAAAGAAAAGAGATTCAGACGTTCAAAATGTGGCACACTGTCAAATTCTTTTATTTATTTATCAAAAGCACATTTCATAAAATACAGCAAATGACTGTAATACATTCTAGTTTCTTGTCTTAATGTTAAATACGTGTTAGTGTGTCTAGCCAAAGAATTGTTGGTGTTTATTAGATACTAAATAGACCTGGTAAAAGATACAAAAAAAAGCTTTTATAATATTTTATGTTTGAAAATTGAGGAATAGTTAATAAGTGCAAAAATCAACGTCATTCTGTCAATAGAATAAATCATTAAAATGCCAGTAGCATCTTAAAAAAAGCATTATTTAATGATTAAATCATCAAATGTAGGGACTCCTGCACCACACTGTTTTAACTCTTTACTGACAGTTTGACTTCATCACATTTGGAGTAAAATACGAGAGATGAAACCAAATTAGTTTTCGGCTTCGCACACTTTCCTGTGTTTTCACACAAAGAAAACCCAGTCTGCCAACAGATGACAGTTACTCTGGATAGATGCTGTAAGTATTCATAAACAGAGTGGTAGCCTTGTTACACATGCAGATATTTCTTAAAGAAAAAAATAACATTTTTGCAGTTTTTCAACCAAAAGCCAAGCTCAGTGGATCCAATGAGACACGTGAGCAGCGTGCAGTGAGAAAAGTTCTGCACATGTTGCTCCAGGGGGGAGCTACCACCATAAAGTTTATTTATTCACATGAAGATGAAATTACAATCACTAACCAGATGTTTATGAGAGAGGAAAATAAAACAGTAAAGGTTGTAACCATCTGCCCTACTGAGCAGAAATGAACCAAACTCATGTTGACAGAACATTTATTTCATGTCACGTCTTCAGCACGTCAGTATAACATGTATATGTCATGATAAATTAGATATTTCATTAAAACACCCAAACCTTCCTTGGCTTAATTCATTTAGTTACAGTCCAGATGTAGCATGGCCTGATTATTCTTTTTATCTGCTGCCATGTAAGATGGCCCATCAAGTAGTCACATTGTCTGTTAGCAAAATATTTCATAAGCCACTGTACAGGTTTAATTGAAACTTTACAAAAATATCACTGCATGTGCATTTACAGCTGATTACATTTTGGAGTCAGCTTGATGTAAGGCATACACCCCAGTTAATGAATCTTAGCAAACACTAAAATGGTTGAAGCTCAGTCAGTTTTATAAATACTGAGATACATTTTGGTATGGTAGTAGATGAGAGTTATCTCCTTTACTACTACAGGAGCAGCTGTGGTGTAGAGGTAGGGCAGTTGACATGAGACCAGAATGTTGCAGGCTCAACTCCCTGCCATGCCCACATGTTGTGGTGTCCTTGAGCAAGACACCCAATCCCTTACTGCTCCCCAGGTGCCCACATAGCTGCCCGCTGCTCCACCTGGGTGTATCTTTATGTGGGATGGGTTAAATGCAGAGCACAAACCATCATTGTAGAAATATACAGTGATGATAACACAGCACTTTCTTTCTTTCGTTAACATATACTAAGTGCTAACAGATTATAAATTATTTTTGTTTAAAACTTTAGCATTTAAAGCAACAGGCAATAGGCACTCCTTTAAGGAATGCTAATTTTGAACATGATCGGGGTAGAGTTGAACCCAGGGTGCAGACAAACACGGAGGAACTCGAGGTTAAAATAAAGAAAACTGATTTATTTAGCAGAACACAAAAACAAAGGCTGGCATGGCAGCAAAACGTACAGCAAGTGGAACAGACCATGAGAGCTGTGGAAAGCACAATCCACAGACAAGGTGGAAACACAGAGCTGCTGAACTTAAAGAGACACTAACGAGACACAAAGATGAACACCTGGGGTGATTGGGACTGGGAACAGGTGAAGCAGGAGCTGGCAACATAAAGGGGAAAACACTGGGGAGGATGGAAACACAAGCACAACAGGCTCAGAAAAATAAATAAAATCAAAAGGAGACATAAACACCACAAAAACACATGGATCCTACAGTATTTTGTTAATTTTACAATTTGGAAATATGTTCTCAACTGTCCTGTGTTCGTTTGTTTCTCCTCACACTCCTCTCAAACTTGCACCACCATGGTGTCTTCACTCTGTGAATTTTAAAATCAACAATAATCCTTTGCAGCTGTAGCCTTTAATAAGGTTGTCTCCACATGCTCAACTTAGCTAATGTGTTCACCGCCTGGTCATTCGAACCTAAAATATGTCATTTTTAGATGCCTTTTAACACAGATGGATACATGCTTTTCTTTTCCTGTTATTATATCAGGTCTTTAAAATAGCTTTTAAAAAAGGAGGTACAATTTAGTTTTTTTAAGTTTCAGTCCAACATTTAATTTGAATATGAACAAAACAACTTTTGAAGAGATAAAACATTAATCATATCATCAAATACAATACTACTTAAATGATGTTAATTCATACATTTCAAAGTTTAGTAGGATCACTTATTGTTAATGGTAAAAAAAAAAGGTTCAGTATAATCTGAAACCCTATGCTGTGTGTTAGTATGAGGAGAAAGAGAATAGTAATTTGATTAACAGTGTGTGTTTTATGTCTAAGCATGAACATGTGATTTATTGTGCAGAGACGGCAGCACAAACACGTTGTGTTCAATGCTGGTGAGGAGGCTGATGAACAGTCTTTATTGAATGCTGGACTTCTCCTACTACACCCAGAGGTGGCTGAGATCAGCCCACACTCACGCTTTCGCTTTCCCGGCCATCATTAACAGAAATCACGACGTGCACATCCACATATACAGTA